GAACCCTCCAAGTCACAAGTCAAAAGGTTAGTAGGACGGGATCTTATTCCAAACAGTGCCAAATATGGTACAAAACACTCAGGTAGTAGTAGTTTTTAATAAAAAAGAAATAATCATTACAGTCATCCAATCCGCATGCAGTGGTTTTCAAGCAGTTGTCCAATCGGATAGCTACACTTGAAGGTTCTAGAATGTTCTTTCAAAAGATGATTGGATGTAATGTCTTAAGCTCTTTCTGAGCATCTCAGAGCTTCGTTGAATTCACCGGTAGCCGTTCCTACAAATTATGAAATATAAAAAATAACCGTACTGAAATTGTATAACATTGTATTAGGCGGTTCAAACGGGAAAACGTTTTCTTGACGAAATTCGAAGTTCATAGGTTCTACTCATGGTGGAGTCTTAGATACTCGTTATTTTGAAGTCCTATACTAGAAAGGAATACCTGTCCAGTGCTTCCTTGGTTTTTAAAAGGTGTCTATCACAAATCGATTTGTGATATTAACAATGTTAGGATATAGATTGTAATCCCTTTTACTATTTGTGTATGTTACAATGAATAATGTAATAAAAGATTTATGCCAAGAAAGTTTAATAATTACAGCAAAAGATTGATTAGTATATAATGAATGATAAAATTACGTTGGTCAGTAACTTTAAATTCGGTTATCTTCCTAATGATTCTTCTTTCTGTGAATATCAATATGATATAATGTTACTATTTTGAATGAATTAGCTCATTTTTCATGTCCACTATGTGATACTCAATCGACCTACTACTATTTAAACTTGAATATCCATCGAAGTGCTAAGTGAATTATACATCTTATGTAGTTGAGATAATGAATCAATTACAGCTAGATCACCATGTAAAACATGGAAGCACTAGACGGCCGTTTTCACAAAACCCCATTCTGATAATGATCATACGCTCACTAGTGGCTATCTCCAAGAGGTTTTTCCTGGAACTCTAGTGAGAAGCAGTAACCAGTGGAGTTCAACCAGGTCTGTTTGGAGATATCAACTCACTAAAGACAATGGTGAATGGTTGCTCAATTTCTTGGGTTGGCTTGAGTTAGACATTAACATATTTGGATGCCGGTCAGCTCAGTGGTCTTTCAGTTAAGTGCTCTGGCGCGAGACTGGTAGTTCCTGGGTTCAAATCTCGTAAAGTGGGATCGTGGGTGCACACTGCTGAGGAGTCCCAAATTAGGATGAAAGTGCCATCTAGTGCTTCCAGGCTTTCCATTGTGGTCTAGCTTCGATTGATTCATGATCTCAAGTATATAAAACGACTAAAATCTCCACAAAACCCCCTTCTGAGAATTATACATCTATTGAAAAAATGACATCTATTTATGAAAATGTCGAAATAGGTTAACTACAACCGTAAACAATCAAAATATCACGTTCTTTTATCTTTAATTTCATAGCTTATCTGGCTGTTACTATCATTCCAGTGATTAAATTAGTCAATTATCTTCTCACAAACTCCATAGAAACTAAGACATTGCTAATATTAGTATATAAATATAGCCAGTGGTAAATTTAATCAGATTGTTAAACTGAGATTTTTTCGTTTACTAAAAGCACATGAATTAATTTTCAATCAGAATTCTTATAGTTTAGTTAATAGAATACAAATAAGTGGATGCTTTCATAATTTTGACTAAATATATGAGGTATGATACTTAAACAAACTGTCTGGTTCAATGAAAGAATGTACATTGAAACTATTGTCTTCATTTAGAAGTTGCTTCTTTGTGTACAGGTTGATTGTCTGTGACAAAGACTGACAAAGACTGGTCTGGTTCGAATCTCGCGCGAGCGGGTTCGTGGATGCGCACTGCTGAGGAGTCCCATAATAGGACGAAACGGCCGTCCAGTGTTACCAGGTGGTCTAGCTTCAATTGACTCATGCTTTAAAACTATGAAAAAAGACTGAAATATTAAAAAAGCAAACTATCTGTATTTTGGGTACTTAAGTAGTACATATTCACAAAACAGTATTCAATATTAATTATGAATATTTTATAGTCTAGCAAGAAGAGACTATGAATTACATTTAGGTAGGTAATCTATTAATTATTTACTTGAGTCTAATTGAATTTTAAATAAATTGGAAATTTTCTACTGTTTTTACTTGGCACCATGATTTTTTAAAATAAAGAAATATACTTAATCAATGGCATAAATTACTGAGAATTATGTCTTTATACTGAATATTATGTTGTATTCAGAGTATTAGTCTTTCAGTATAGATGCAGATCACTTGGTTAAGGTCCGCGCGACTATCGTAACCAAATGGTTGGAGACTCTAGGTGACATGGCTCAGAATCGATCACAATGGCGCAGGTGTATACACTCTTTACCCTCCATTAATCCTTGAGATTAAAATTGCTGCATATCTGTCTTCCCATACTATATCCTTATATACAATCTTTCTTTTATATATTACCACCACTAAATTAACTACTTTTACGAATCTGGTACTCATCTTGTTGTGCTAACGAGGTATGGCAACTTGAACCAATGCATATCTGTGGCTGATCCTACGTTATAGCTGACTGAATGACAGTGTTCATGGTATCAATATTGTAATGTATATACAGTTAAATGTATTTGCACCCTGATATTAATGTTAACATTGCCACTTGAAAACTTATTATTAGGTTTAAATGGTACTAGATTATTGAGTGATAATAGAAATTGTCAATTTTATTGAAAGATTATATTCATCATCAATACTAAGACTTTCTATATGCAGCTGATAAGGGCTAAATAAAATGTAGAAAGTGTTCTAGATCCTATTATCAGTCACTGTTTAAAAGATAATCAACGTATAAGTAAAAAAAATCTTAGTGTATTCATTTAAGTGGTTGATAAACTGAGAGAAATAGAATAGATCTGTTCTGCACAAAAGAAAATCAGAAAATAAACACTCTTTTCAATATTATTATTCGGATGGATATAATAAATTGAAGTAGGAAGAAACAAATAGAGACAAAAATCTATTTTTTATTCAAAAACTTTATTAGATTAACGGATATCTGTTTTCATGACATGAAGTAATAGTCAGGTTAGACTCAGGGTAATAGGGAATAATGGTAAATCAGTTGATGAAGTTGTGAATCACTATTGACTGAGATGGTTGGGCCACGTTTTACGTATACCTGAACACCAATTACCACCACGCTCAATGCTGACTAGTGTTGGAGATGGTTGGAAATAAGTTACGGGCGGCAAAAGCAAAACGTGCTTGAAGTCACTATATTCTGGTCTGAGCCCTGTTGGTAGATGCAGACTACTTGGTTGGTGTCCGCATGACTATCGTAACCAATGGTTAAATACTCTGTGTGACAAGGCTCACAATTGATCACAATGGTATAGGTGTATACACTGCTTGTGTTCCCTTAATTCGTGAGATTAAAATGACTTTATACCTTTTTTTCCACGAACTAATTCTTTCTTCCTGTATTAAATCCTTATATTTAACCTTTCTTTTATATATTACTTTAATTAAAATAACTATTTCTATGGATTTTTTGTTCATCTTGTTGTGCTACTGACGTGTGGCAGCTTGGATCGATGTATATATGTGCCTGGTCCTGCTTTGTAGCCAACTGACTGACTGACATGAAGTTATCAACAGATGTAGCAGTATCAGTAGTGAGGGATGTTATCCCTTCAAAATATAAATGGAGTTATGGTACCACCCTGTGAATGTATAAATTTATCATCATATTAATTAATAATAAACACTAATCATTATGAAAATTCTGATTTTTGAACGTAGCGAAATATTTAGATAATATTCTTTGATATCGTTGCCATTCACTTCCGACACAAATTAATCTAACAAATCAATCTGATCAACATATACATATATATTACTTCTGTTTTCAGGAAGAAAAAAACTGTTGATCGTTTTCTTCCCTTTCTTTAAAAACATAAGTTGTCATGCATAAATCAGGAATAAATGACAAAAGACAGAATGTCATTTTCTAATACTTGTATTATCATTTTTGACAATGAAATCGATGTACACTAAGCATGACAGTCTTAAGCGTTTTGCTTAAAACTGTTTTCTAAATTTTATTAGCTGTAACAATGATTACTTGAAGACAACAAACGCCATTGCGTTATCCACTTATCTACTGAGTCCTGAAAGTCTCCCATTTGTGCAATAGGGTGAAGTTTAAATTCGTTTGGTGTTGTTTGCTCGTATCTTCCCATTGGTGTTTAGGACTGCAGTTGTTCAGTCTCTTATTGGGTTCGAGTCCCGAACTGAACATCAACTCTGGGATGCAGGTATGTTCAGTTGACGAGTCTCAAATGGGTCGAGACGCGCGTTCTGTATTCCATTGCTAGCCACCGTCCATCTTTGCTCATAAATCTTGTAACTGAAGGCAATATCGAGGCAATCCTCACAGTATGCACATATGCCATTAAGAGAGAGACTGATCAATTACAAACCTAAGCAACAATGGGAAGATACAAGCAAACAACACCAAGTGAATATATATATATATATATGAGGAAGCTTTTAACAACTACCGTTATCCTCGTTTATTGAAAACAGCTCGATCAAATCAGCGTTTACTTTGTTGTTAAGCTTATCTTCTAACATTATAAAACCTGCAAATAATTTTTGAGAAAGTCTATCATTACTCATTTAGAATTATTGGTGAATAGACCCACTTATTCTTTCCAAACAATATTCCTTTAAGTAAAACAAGGTTCCACATAATTTATCAATGAATGAGAATTCAAACTAATTTAAAATGTATATTATCTAAATCACAATCCTAGTTGCGAATAATATTGTTGAGGAGTTTATTTGTAGAGACATACCAGCTGAGTTATCATTTGCTTAAATCGCTTGTATTGAATAATGAGGGTACATTTATCGTTAAAATTAATGAGAATTAACTCGATTAATCATTCTGGTCTATTATCATAATGATAAAGTTTATTTCAAATTTTTATTTTATTTCCAGCTTCTTGTAGTTGATCGAGACAGTCCTGAAGTTAATGGTCAAGTACATTGTGAAGAACCACATCACTTGAAAGGCAAACAACCTATTGTTTTTGTACAAGAATCTATGTATTCACTTCCACGTCAACAGTCATCATCTTTATCAATATCAGAACTAACATCTGATCTCAATAACAATAATAACAATAACTATCTACCTACAAGTTTATCTCATTTATCAAGTTCTGAAAATCATATTTATCAACGTTTAACATTATATAGTCTCAGTGAATTCGATCGTGAAAATGGACCTGATAAATATAAATCAATTCTACACTGTTGGGATGGAATAACATCACAAACACCGTATGATTCTTCAATATACATGAATAATTATGCACCATTAAATTATTCAAAATCTTCAACACTAGTATCACTTAGCCAAACAGCTACAATGACAATCACTTTACATATAGTAGATGCAAACGATAATGAGCCTACTTTTGAAAAACAATTCTATAAGGCAGAGATTAAAGAAAATTCACCGATAGGCACTAAAATTATTAAGGTTAGTTAGTTGTTAAGAATAGTCTGTTGATTTATATATTTATAACATATAAACATTTATTTATTGATAATACCTTAACATTTTTTATTTATAAGATCTGCATTATCAGTACAGGGTTGTGGAGATTGTTGAGTTTTGATTGAGATCATGAATCGATCAATATTAAATCACCATTGAAAGCCAGTGGAGCTAATCTGTGTCGTGTGTGAGGCAGTTACCTACCGACAACAATGGAAGATAGTTGCGCAATATTATGGATTGATTGAAGTTAGACATTAACACCGTCGTGGGCCAGCTCAGTTGTCCGGAATTTAAGCATTAAAGCGAGACCGGATGTCCTGGGTTCGAATCCCGCGTATGAGGTCGTGGATGCCCACTGCTATGGAGATCTGTAATAATTAAGATTCTATCGACTCATCCTATACCAATATAGTAATTTGTGTTCACTTCTTTTGTATTCCTATTTTATAATAAGTAATTAGCATAATAAATGGATGTGGTAAATAGAATATCAATTAACAAATGTTAAAATACTTCGATATCTTATTTGGCTCAACTGAATGTGTCAATAATAAGATATATTCAGTAAGCTAATTAACTAAGCTGACCAATGATTGGGTATTAGGTCCATTTAAAAATGGTTCTATAGTCACTACCCAATTCATTAAAAACGTGGATTAATAAAGGGCTAATTCAATGGAATCAATCATATTTGTACTAGTGATACTTCTGAAGTAGAGACGAAGCTCTAAACTGAAACATTAATGAATAACAATTATTAATTGAAATTCAAAAACCTATGGACAGGTTGCAATATGATTAGACCTATGACGCTTCTGGTACCCAAAAAACGAGTTTACATTATTTTAATACTTAGAGTTGACTTAGTCTCATGTTGAAACGGAGACTTAAATTAGCTAACAGCATGACATTTTATGCAGCTCAACTTTTCATTATTGAAAAGACAAGATCTATGTTTCACCAAAAAGCCAAACAGCACGTGATTGTGTCACATCACATTGTGTCTATCAATTTACATATATGTGCGGATGCACTTACATAGGGAGGAACAATCGTGATCTACAAGCAGTGTTGGCAGAACTCATACCCGAATGACTGCAGAAATAAATGGATTCTAATGGTCAAATAAGATCATAGGATGAACAGACATCATTCTCCATTGCGGAACATTTGGTTGAGACTGGTCATAAACTTGATATCAAATCAGCATTTGTAGTGTTATACAAAAGACTTCAAGGGCACATACTAAGATTTATTGAAGCCTTGGGTGTACAGAAACTGAAACTCCCTTTATATGTTCGAAAACAATTTGTTTTTACCCTTAACCTACCCCGATAATGCTGATTTATTATCCAGAGTGGTTATCACATTGTTTTTGTGTACTTTATTTTTCTTTGTTACGGTTGACCTTTAACCTGACTAATTGACCTTTTAGTTTTCGTATAAAATTGTCTTAATGAGTATTTTATATGTGATCAGCTTATTCGAAATGTATTGAGCAAATATATCATATAATTCTGACAAACTTCGTCTTCTCATTGCATTATCGAAATCTATCAAATGGAGCTGTGTTTTAAATCATAAATTTATCTAAAATTTAGATACATATCGAACTGATAGAGAATTTTTACTGAAAAAGATACAACTCTTCCAATACTCGTTTTCTGTTATAAATAGTCTGGGGGACCACAGAAGAAATACTTTATATACATATTTATTATTTATTTCTTTGAACACATAAATATTGATACAAAGAGGCACTAAATATATATGCGCCACACAATTCACTTGATTTTTGTGTGGGCTGTGATACTACACGGGTGCCCAGAGCGAAACAGGTGGTCTCCTTAGGGAGCAACACTCAGAGCCTTCGATCTAAAGGTCTAATCCAAAAGGCAGTGGAGCAACGTGAGGAGATGCGGTCACATGGTAGCCGGTGGCCAAGAATAGCTTCATATGCCATTTATTCCCTCAAGGTCCTGGAGTCCATATACACTATTGGTGGATCCTCCATATCCGAATACCCGGCTAAAGCGCCGGTCATTTGCTTTTCGTCCTCTCAATTTCGTGAACAACATCCCTGCCTTCGTGATAATCTAATATATATTTACCATGAATACTTAAAATGCAGCAAAACTGGTAATCAAAGCACAATCCACAATTAATTTTATAATATTTCGTGAATCATATATTTAAGCTGTTAACAATCTTAAATAAAATACAACAAAACTTTCTTACGACAAAAGGGTGATAAACTAATGTTGTTTGATGAATAGTGATGAATATGGAAATTAGAAATGAGAAGCGTCATCATTGTTTATTCTAGTACTGAATAAAAAGGTTATATATGTAAGATCCAAACTAAGGTTTGGCTGACGAATAACTATCTGAGTGACTTAGACAAGCGATATTGCCCAGTTGAAATTAAAACAAGGGGATTGGGAAAATAATGGTTCTAAATTTCATTATAAATAGAAATGTACATGATTACCTAAACAAATATTACTGCTCAGTTATTCAACCAAAAATTGTTCCCTCAATAATCGATCTAAATTACAATAAATAGACAAAATGATAAGCAATGCAAAAAAAAGTACCGCGTGCAACAAAAAGTAAATGTTATTTTATCCTTTCTGGATAGATCAAGTAAAAATCCGTTCAAAAGATAATAGTCTGTTACTTTATAACACAAAGTATTTCCAATTCTGGAAAAGTGCTTCAGTTCACAAACAAAATGCACAATCCCAGTCAACTCAAGCAACACAATCAAAGGGGGGGAACAATCAATATGGCTGCTGGCAAGATTAAGTATCAACTAAAACAACATAAATACAGGTCCGGAAGAAACATAGAAACTCAGTGAAGGCGAAAGAAAAATGAGAAAACTATAATAAAATGAAATATAACCATCTCAAACGGCATCGAAATGAATAACAAAATGTACAACTAAAGAAACCAATAAGGACAAGTTGTAAATGTATGCATGCAGGGATTTTCACACACAAAACCTTCAAAATGGATCTTTCAATATGATCGAAATAACTTAGTAACAGAAAATTACAAGTTGAATTACTGATTACTTGCTAGAAACTTTAAAAGATTTACACAAATTCAATTTAATGATTGTGTAAAATTCATTAAATGGAATACAAAAGTAATTTATGAATTGAATAAAGTAATAAATAATTAAGGATTATAATGGTTATAATCAAATTCTCACATGTGACTGACTTCGAGAGGTAAGTTCTGGAGTTCTAGTGAAAAGCAGTGACCAGTGGAGTTCAAACTAGTCTGTTGTGAGATAGGAACTCTCTGAAGACAATAGGTGAACGGTTGCTCAACTTCGTGGATTGGTTGGAGTTAAACATAAACACCATCGGATGCCGGCTAAGTGGTCTGTTGGTTATGTGCCCTGGCGCGAGACTGGTAGGTCCCGAGTTCGAATCTCGAGAGTCGAGGTCGTGGATGCACACTGCTGAGGAGTCTTACAATAGAACGAAACGACCTTCAAATGCTTCCAGGTTTTCCATGGTGATCTAGCTTCAATTGACTAACGCTTTCAAATATGAAACTACTGAAATCTCCACAAAACCCCTCCTGATTAAGGATAGAAAATCAAAAACCTTGAGTCCATCAATAAACAGGCAATTGCGTTTCTACTGAATGGAAAATATCAAGATCGAGAATATTTTCAGTGCTCCTTGAATTATTATTATTATTATTATTATTATCATCATTTATTTTGCTTGTATGTTAGGATTACCTTCCTGATATCTACATGATAGTTATGATTAAATTCTTGAACTATTGATTCAATGAAGCTTAAATTGTCACCATTTTTTTATCCAACACCTAATACCGCCGATTTCCTTTTAGGTCCATATTAAAAGCTTTGAATAATTCAAAAAATTTTTTTCTTTTTCCAAAAATGAAATACGGTGAATTTATTACTCTACACCAGATTTCAGTAGTATAACAGGAAGTGATAAAGAATAATTTTTATTCTTATCTATAATAATAAAATAATAAACGCAAACAAACGGAAGTGAATAGATTATTAATTAATAGCATTCTCTCTTCTTCTTCTTTCCTTCTTTCTTCTTTGGCGTATATAAATGAATAGATTAACATTAGAAAAAAAACCCTTAATGAAATATTATTACATTATTATTGTTATTATTATTATTGTAGAAAACAACCTGAATTTAGCCATGCATGAATAAATTTTTATTTTTGGGAAATGTGAATTGACAACAATACCACCCCACCCCTCCTCAAAAAAGATAAATTCATGGGGGATATAATTTTTTCTATCATTTAACAAACATTAAAGAAAAGAGTATGTATGTATGTATGTATGTATGTATGTATGTATGTATATGTGTGTCTCTATAATAATTATAATGCATACTATTCATCAACTAGATGTATACAAAACTATGGTACTTTAAGAAATTTCAAAATGAGAGTTATCATCATTGTGTCTTGGTAACAATTTTTTTAAATGATTAAAAAAAATTTTTTTTAAAAAGGCGCCAAAAAAACAATTTAGTTTGTATGTGAATTAAATTGGCATTCATTCTAAGAATTAACTAAAGTTGATAAGATCAGTTTTTCAGTTCTTTCATTTAGATTCAATGAACCGATGATTGGGTGTGCTTTAATTAATGGCTGATGAATACAGTTTTTATGCTTACGAATATCTATAAAGGCATCTTATATGACTGTATAGATACACTTGGTGTATTTATATGGTCAAAATTATTCACTGTTGTTGAGGTATTCATCAGTTATTCACTCTCAGCTAAGGGAATTCACTTATACAGAATATATGCGAAGTGGCTAGCAGAGGAACACAGAACGTGTGTCATCTGCATGTACCTGCATACGAGAATTGATGTCCGCACTAGAAATTAAACGCAGTACTTTTTGCGTTGAATATCAAAGCCTCCTAAAATTATTACTGATTCCAGTTAGTT